CCCCAAAACCCCAAAACCCCAAAACCCCATATTATTTTTCAGCATTGAGAGCAATGATTAGAATAAGCTTATTATATAAAAATATTTCATCTTCAGCCAACAGGAATTGCAATCTGGCTATGATTTTTAAAGCGCGATAGTATAACTGGCCAGCTACCAGTATAGAATCAACCAGGTTACCACTGCTATCTTCCCATTCTGGAAAAATTTAGTTGGCTGGAAGTATTGTAACAGACATTTATTTAAAATCCGAAACTCCTTTTTTCAAAGTTTCTTTTAGACCTCGAGCATTGTCGATAATATTTCTCTTGCTCTTTAAGGCTCAAGGATTTTCTTTCAGTAGAAATATTGTTGTTCATTGTACTCATCGTCCTCAACGAGCCTATCGTCATATTTTTAGGGATATATCGATCTTCTGCAACGAATGGGCCTGAGCTTTCTATTGCAAAAGGGTTTCATGAAGATTCGTTACCCTTTTTGCAAGTTGAAACAGCCGATCCCATTCTCTCAGAGAACGAAGATGGAGCTTTCTTGTGCATAGAAATATCATTCAGCGTAGTTGGAGACTCAGAGCTAAAATTATAAGACCTTCTTCCAGTATTTGTCTTCTGAGCTGAATCGAATGAGAAAAATTCTTCTTTCTTGTCTGAAGCAGAGAGTATTGTCGAGTCTGATTTTTCAGGAGACAGGCCTAAGAACGAGCTGCTGTTGTAATAGTGAGGCAGCTCAACTATGATCACAGTGATATTGTCTTGTGACCCGTTGCTGATGGCCTGGTTTATGATTCCTTGAGAGATACTCTCTCTGGTCTTCCCTTCTTGAATTCAATTTTTGATATAATCAGTAACCTGTCTTTTTCCAAACGTCTATACATTAGTAAATATGCCTGATGTACCTTAGAGCAGACTCCGTCTGATGCTAGAATGAGATATTGGTCCAGGGAGCCAAGGTTTATAGTCTGTATCTCTGCTTCTGATGTAACTGCAGGCCTGTATTTTAGGTCACCAATAGACCTTGAGAGTGCTAGTTGCCCATTTAGACGGTTTTTCAGTATGAGGAATTCCCCTCTATAAAAATTGATAAACATTATTGCAATTTTGTAGCATATCTGATGGTAAATTAGGGCTTACAAATTCTGGGAAGCTACTCTGTTGTATTCATCTAACCTCGAGTAGTTGTGGTCGCTCGTTAATGAGATTACGTTTGAGTTTTTGACAAGGAATGCAGTGGAATCCCCAATGTTAGCAATCGTTAGTTTGTTGTTCATGATCATCCCAAGAACTCAGGTTGAGCCTCCATCCAAATTTTGCTCTTTTGCAAGTCTGAGAAATTCAAAATCGACTTCTTGGAGAACTAAAAATGAGATTTATAGTTTACTTTTTTGAATTGCCGAAGATGTGTTCTCTTTGAGCTCTTGATACTTTTCCTTGAGTTTGAGCATAAGAGTATCTTTGCAGTACTGGGATGCTCTCGAGCCAGAATGACCATCAAATATTGAGAATATGGCTTGGGCGGTCTCTCCCATGAATTCTTGGTCAACCAAGAACTATTTAAAAGTTAGGGAACTGAATTAGGATATCTTAGAAATGAGAAATCTTACCCTATCCTCTTGAGTCTTCTTCTTTCCTTTCTGTGAAGAGATGGAGAAGATGTGGTTGTGTTCTTCAAAGTTTTCTTCTCATAATTTATCACATGGCTTTTCATAAGCTATACAAGGTCTTATTATACGGTTTCAAAAAAAGTATTTCTAGCGTAAATCGAAAATGCTTTGGGTTGAAAGATCCCACCAAACCACATTGACCATATTTAATGGGAAGTTTCAAAAGAAGTATTAAAATGGAAAATTTTTGGAAAATCCAGATTTTGAGCACCAAGTGTTGCACGTTTTCTGGTGAGCTCTGACAACGTTAAACAAAGGGATAGCAAATACTACAGCATTGTAGATATTTGTACGGAATTAGGGCAATGAATTTCTGATCTAACCTCTCGACTTAAAGTCTAGCGTTTTAGAAGACCTACCATAATCTTGAAAGTTTACTGTCCCACAAGTGCGCCCTCAGATGCTTGTATCGTCTAATGTTATATTCTTATTAACCTCATCAATATTAATAGAGAGGTCTTTATAGTCGATTCTATAGAAATATTATCAAAAAGTCCAGATTGGTACTCAAGCACCCAGAATGACACAGGAATATTTTTTCCATAACTTTGGCAACTTTGGTAATTAATAGTATCACGAGTGAATATATTTCTTAAAAGTAGTCTTTACCTATGGTCATTGTCGTAATCCATACTGATGTCGCTATCCGAGGAGTCATCACTCATTATAATATCTCTGGCTCCATTGGGAACATGAATTGTGAGTCAAGCATTAGAGAAGGCAACTGAAAATCCTTAAATTTTGGGTTATTCTCAATGTTGTTGTCCATTTGTTCGCTAGTTATTAATATTATCAATTATTTGCCTAAATTAGGGGTTTTGGGGTTTTGGGGTTTTGGGGTTTTGGGG